CCTACCATAAGCTTGGAGGAGCCTTTACCTCTAGGAATATACCTTAATTATAAAAACACAAAGTATAAATAGATCAAATAGAGTACCCCAAGAATGCTTTTCTTGGGTAGAATATTCTATTATCATGAAGTTTGCATCATTTAACTCAGTGGCTCCCCTCCTATTACCTAATATCGGAGTGATCCACCCTCTTAAATATTATCATAATAAGTTGGCCAATATTAGATTGCTCAATAATTAGCTTTCTTGATAATGGTAAATAAGCTATTATCTCCTCCATTAATCATCTTACCTAATAAGATGGGGGTCAATTCATTATGAGAGAGGAAGAGATGGCGATTATCTATGGTGTTCATTGAAAGGGAGGCCTTAGTTCATATAACGATGTGCATTCATTGGCCTCTATTTACTCTTTAATTATAAACCTGATTCTTGGTCAACATTAAACTCTATATGATTTTCTTGTGTCATGCACCATCTAGTTATTCATTATCCCTCAATCACTTCATTGTAGTGGAGCATAATATTGATAATTATATAGAATTATCCCTCCCTCTCTCCTTGTATTCTTCAATAGAATAGTATAATACTACATCTAGCTCTATGATTTGTGACTTCTCGACTACTTAATATCAATTTAGTATATTAGGAATTGGTAATAGCCCTTTTCCTCCCACTAGTTAATAGAAATGGTTCACACTCAATATACCAAGCATAGTTTACAATTATAATTCTATATAACATTGTCTTCCTCTAAAACTTCATATCAAAATAATTATTAGGATGACCAAATATAAATATTATTATCCTCGGCTATAGATCAATGATCTTACAATAATAGAGTTGGACCATTTCTCCCTCCTATGATAGGGATAACAATAACGTATAAACAATGTAACTCTTCCCTTATATATATCACTCGAGTATATTTTCCAACCTATTATCCCTTGTATGATATTATAATGTAGAATTAGATAATCTTAATATATAGTCCCTTACAAGGAATTGATGTTAGTCCACATTTTGATGGACCCGTAATAACAAATCTGGTTGTGTTAAGAAAGATTGTAATTCTTTCTTAAGAGAATCAATGCTAGTGAGCAAAGGCATTCAGATGACATTATAGGAGGATCCTCATTGTCATTAGTGACAATGGTAATTCACCATAATTTATAAACTCTAATAGAGAGGGAAAATATTGGGCCATAATAGTCCCTCTCCACTCTAATCGCTAAATAATTCCCTTTCTTTCCCTCTATGAACTTTTGATTTATGTAAAGTTCCCCTCCTAATATAATGGCACCCCCTTAATAGTCTTTATGAAGAGTGTTGGATATATGGGTATTGAAATGAAGAGGGAGAGGGAGAGCGGGATAGGGATAGAGAGAAGGAGGAGGAGAGAGGAAGGGAAAGAGAGAGTGGGAGAGAGAGACATGAATTAACTAATTCATTTCACTTGGTCATCCACTTTTTAAAATAGAGTAATCTACTTGGTAATAGTAACTTGTTTAAGCAAGTTTAAACGACCATATGGACTCGAAGTTATATGATTATATGATTATAGTCTTATGGTATTGCAATTCTATAGGGATAGGGGCTTCTCATCTTACTCCTCTCGGAGAGGGAAGGCTGATCTATCATCGGTAAATGGTCTCCTTCCTCTCCTCTAAATGGGAAAATGATTGGAGGTGATTTTTCAAGAGATGGGTAAGGATGAAAATTGCATTATACCTTATATATGATTCAAATAATTGGCTATAAAATAGAGAGGGGAGAGAGATAGACTATTCATAATTAGCTAATAAATAAAGAGACGGAGAGAGGGAGGAGGAGAGAGAGAAATTAGGTGATCAGTTAGAAATTTCTAGAGGGTAATCACCATAACCAAAAGGAAAGGTGTTTTATGCTTAAGCATATTATTAACTAATATTGTTAACGAATATTATGATTGAAGTTAGTATTCTTTTGAAAGAACCACTTAAGGTCGATAGTACCATATAGTATTGCCTTATGTCTATAAATATCCATATTCCGTAATAAGAATTATATTTCAATGGATATGCCTATATTATTCCCCATGTGTGTGCGGACTTATACCCGATTTAACCCATTTATTATGCATAGCCCCCTCTCTCCCTTCCTATTAAATTTAATTATGATGTTTTGCTATATAAATTAGTACATGCCAACTTGAAATTAATAGATATATACTTGGAAAAGTTAATTATTTGACTTTTTTGTGTGTGAATAGTGCTTATCCTAGAAAGAGATAGTCAAACTAGGATGAGTAATCAAAGAAATATTAAAACCCCTCGAGAATCTTATAGAGAGGGAGATAAACAGGTTCATATTAGTCCATCATTATACAGGGGAGAGTTTTCAATCTGAATCCATGGAAATTTAACTAAGGATTTGATAATCATATTATACAAGTTTGGTAATTTACTTTAACATAACCCCTCTCTCATGAGACCATCTATCATTAGGCTCCATTACTATAAATTGTCTCACCATAAGGTCAGGCTAATTTAAATATCAATGTGATTCATCATGTTTGACTTGAATTAACAACCTATCTTAGTCATATATATAGGAGTCTAAATGACGAGATCAGACCTCCTTTCTTAGCAATGTTAGAGAGAGGGACATAGGGAAGAGTGTTATTCCTATAATTACATTGATACATGATAGAGAGAGGGAGAGATGAGGGAATATTAATAGTCATTGACGAAGGTTAGACACTAATGAAGTGCTGTATAATGTTGCTTAAAGGAAAGATGAAGGATTCCATAGAGTGTTAAACCTCTTATTCTAGCACTCGCACAACTAGTATTTTAACATTTTGTCATCGAAAAGATATGGGTCAAATACTTAACTATTGTTAAATCTATGGTAAACACCTTGATTGATTGATTTAGGTGATTAGGTGAATATTCTATCAATAAAGTGCGTTTTCCTCTCTATGTTCATGCATATGACTTCTATAAAATAATAGAAGTTTGGGACAAGCATAACATATTGGACCTCGAATTAGTTAACTTTCCCCTCATGGACCTCGAATCTAAAACTAGTAATGGTACAAGCATGTATGTTCTTTTGTCTATAAACATGGTTGATATGAACATGGGCTGCTCAAATCCCAATATTATCATCAACAAGGAGATGAGTCTGTTTCATTTTGGGCCCAATCACAAGGGCTAGGGCCAATAAGTTTCATGAGTCCTTAAATGGGCTTATTCAATATCAATGGGCTAATTTCTCCATCACTAGGATTGAAGAACATCAATTGGGCCTTGTAAATCTAATCCATGCTAATGGGCCAAAAGTTTAAGACTTAAAGTCCAATCTAGCTAAACTTTCTTATCTTGATGTTTTGGGCCGAGATTGTTAAGTGAAAACTATAGAATCAGCCCACTTCCAAGGAAAATTCACCATTATTTTCAAGTCAACAAAATGTTGAATTCTAGATGTTGAATTCAAAGAGTTTTCTTCCAAATTCAAAGTCTTATTCAAAGCTTTGTTATATCCAATGTGACTTTAATCAACTTTGTCTTTTTGAATTCCCAATAGCCTATTTATGTAAAAGCAATATGTAATTTTGATATTTAATCAATCTTTGAATCAAATCAACCTTTGTGAGGAAATTCACACCTTAGTTCTTTCTAGAACTGAATTTTAGAACTTATCAAGAGTCTAATTCTTATGGCGTTCAAGTCACTTATCACTCCCTTTGTACCCTTTTTGGAGTGTGACATCCATATCCTTCCAATCTGATTTAGCTTTCCGGGATTTCTTCCTTCTTATTCTTGGGTTATTTAGCCATCGAGCTAGGCAGGTTCAAATCGCTTGATATCAAAGCTTGGCTCTAAATCAGGTTCTTTTTTTATATATCTTTTGTTCTATTTCATGTCTTTGTAGTTTTGTTTTAGTCCAATTGAGTTAATTTCAAATTCAAAAAAAAAAAAATGAAGGCTGGATTGATTCAATTCTATCAAGTTTGTTTAAAATCATTGTTTGCCTTGTTAAACTAAGTCTGATCTTCTTCTTCAATTTGGAAATTTTCTCTTCTAGTTTCAAATGATTGAAAACGTCCTAATGCTACTAAAAAGAGTTATTGTGATATATTCTACCATTAAAAAAGAAAAAGAAAAAGAAAAAGAAGGTAGTAACGAATATATATCATTTGGTTTGAAATCAGTAGCTAAAAGGAAAGTCTTTGCGTGTGCTAAATTGCTTGTGTTTAGCTTGCTTTCATTGTCAAATTTATTCAAAATCAGTAGCTCTAAAGTCCAAATTATTATGTATCAATTTAGCTCATTAGGACCAAATCTATCAATAAATAAATAAATAAATAAATAGTCCTAGAGTCTTTTATTCAGTTATCTTGTGATCCATCGGTTCTATCCAAAAATCTAGCTTTATACATTGAACTCCTCATCATTATTTAAATTCAATCCTATCCGAAACCATTGTTTGTCTAAAATTTTAGTTTGTATTCTTGTTGTTTAAACTATCTAAATCCATACTTCTTTGGGTATTAAAAAAAATCATGTATTCATCATCATATTTCAAAATGCAAATTCAATGTGATTTGTGGCGATTAGAAATATGAGATATGGAACGACCAATGGCAAGGGATCCATTTGAGGCTCTCCAAATTGAAATCAGACGTATGAGATGAATAATCAAACTTTGCAAAGAAGAGGCACTCCAGCAAAAAAATGAGGGAATTGAAGTTGCTAATTCCAAAGATCATAGTATCAAGATAGAGGTTGATGTGGTTGAAACTTCTTCTAAACGTTTTGGCAACATGATGAAGAATCGAAATCTAAAAAATTTGAAGTTGTTGTTGCCAACGAAGAGGTTCATGAGGTTGAATTTGTACATGTCAAAAACACTTCGAAGTTCAGCAAAAGTGTTGACAAAGCTACTGTCCTCAACAATGCTATAGACATTGAAATTTTTGACAATGAAGTCACTAATGTTCGCATCTTTCCGAGGGTGTTGAAGTCAAAGATGAGGGCATTAACAAGGCTATCAATGAAGGAATAATTGAGTGTGATGTTGTTGCCATTAAAGTGTCGGATGAGAGTGATGATCTTATAATTGATTTTCTTGGTATTGACAATTCGTATAGTAGAAGGTCTAGTTCAGTAAAGCTTAGCTTTGATGACATTGGATGCAAAATATTTGACTATGTTAATTGGGTTGTTAGCCACCTAAATGATGGTTACTTTAATTTTTTTATAATTGATATCATCATTTGTTACCATAAGGTAAGATTTGAGGATGAACCTTTTTGAAGAGTAGGGGAATGATACGAACATGGGCTGCTCAAATCTCAATGTTAATATTAAGGAGATGGCCTGTTTCATTTTGGGTCCAATCACAAGGGCTAGGACCAAGAAGTTTCATGAGTCCTTAAATGGGCTTATTCCGTATCAATGGGCTGATTTCTCCATCACTAGGCTTGAAGAACATCAGTTGGGCCTTGTGAATCTAATCCATCCTATTGGGCAAAAAATTTTAGACTTAAAGAAGTCCAATTTGGTCAAACATTCTTATCTTGATGATGTGAACCCACCTAGCTCGATGGCTAGAGAACCCATGAGCAAGAAGGAAGAATTCCCGAAAAGCCAAATTAGATTAGAAGGATATGGATTCCACACTCTAGAAAGGGTAGAAAGGGAGTGATAAGTCACTTGAACTCCATTAGAATCGAATTACACTCTTGATAAGTTCTGAAATTCAGTTCTAGAAAGAACTAAGGTGTGAATTTTGTCACAAAGATTGATTTACTTCAAAGATTGATTAAAATGAAAATTACATGCAGTTTTTACCTAAATAAGCTACTAGAAATTTGAAAAGACAAAGTTGAATTAAATTACATAGGATCCCAACAAAGCTTTGAAAAGTCTTCTTGAAATTGGAAGAACGCTCCTTGGATTCGGTGGGCCATTATTATGGACCAAAACTTCATGAATTTTGATTAGAAAATTAGGGGTAAAATGTTGTCTTTGGAAAGGCTTGGAAATGGATTGATTTAGTAGCTTTGGCTTGCTAAACTTTCCCAAAATGTCAAGGAAATATGTTTCGGCCTGATTGGATTTCAAGTCTGAAAAATTCGGCCCAATGGCTTGGATAAGATGTACAAGGCCCATTTGATGGTCTTCATTGATGGAAAATTCGACCCAATAGCTTTGTTTATCATTAGGAATCCCATGGCTTAATCAGCATGCATTCCTTTCTCCCAAATGATAATTGAACCAGCCCATTTTGATCTAGGTTTAATTCTTGTTGCTGGACTCATTAATTTGAGCCCAAATACCAAGCATTGACTCTTTTTAAACCCATGTCCATACAAATCAACCCAGGTGAATTTTGTGAAGCCTAAATTTCTTCATGGAGTAATCCATTTAATTCTACATAATTTTGTCCCTCCCATGATCATATCACTTAATGTTTTGGGATGAGATTGTTAAGTGACAACTATAAAATCAACCCACTTCTAAGCCAAAGTCAACATTATTTTCAAGTCAACAAAATCAAGCTTTGGGGTCGAAATTCTAGATGCTGAATTCAAGGAATTTTCTTCCAAATTCAAGGAGTCTTATTCAAAGCTTTGTTAGATCCAATATAACTTTAATCAACTTTGTCTTTTTGAATTTCTAGTAGCCTATTTATGTAAAAGCAATATGTATTTTCGTTTTTAATCAATTTTTGAATCAAATCAACCTTTGTGAGAAATTCACATCTTAGTTCTTTCTAGAACTGAATTTCATAACTTATCAAGAGTCTAATTTGATTCTTGTGGTGTTCAAGTGACTTATCACTCCTTTTCTACCCTTTCCGGAGTGTGACATCTATATCCTTCCAATCTTATTTGGCTTTCCAGGATTTCTTCCTACTTGTTCGTGGGTTATCTAGCCATCGAGCTAGGATTAGGGAGATATGTCTATTATATGTTGAAGAGCTATGATTACTCCTTCATTCATAATATTAATCATTTCTTGAATTTAGGGAGATATGTGAGAGCACCTCTTATGTGTTATTAGTACATCTTTTTAGTAGTAATTAGAGGGTTAAATCTATATGAGGAGCCTATATCTTATTAATTTTCTTGTGTGATTATATTATTTGGGAAAGATGTTATAATATTCTAAAGGTAAGTGAAGCCTTCCTCGAGGGCTCATCTCTTCTCTTTCGTTCAACATAAATATATTATACTAACTAATAAATTAGGTAACTAGTATGGTAGGTAATATGGGGTAATTAATATAATATTATGATATCAATCTGTTTTTATGAAGAGCATAGAGATTGGCATGATTAATGTGTGAATAATAGTAGTTATAATTTTATTAGGAATGCTCCCCCTCCTTTCTTAAGATGGCGCCACTTTAAATGTTAAAATTTACAATTCTAGATGAACTTTAAATACAAAGGAACATATTGATCCCGTTCTAGGATAAATATATGTTGCAAATGCCTTCGAGGTATTAGTCCTTAGGAAATCAATACATTGAAGGTCATTTAACTATTCTTAAGTCCCAACTAATAAGGTTTGTAAAAGTTGATATATGTCTTTTCTATATGATTTCTCTCCCCACTCTTTCCTAGAGCTATTATAGTCCCACCCTACTTAGGTCAAATAAGAGAGGGAGGAAGCAAGGTTAGCTTCTATCCTTATATGATAGATAATCAAAGAGTAAATATCCAAGTAATTAAAATTCAATGACAATAATTACTTACTTTAAATTAACTAATTAGTCTTTTCCTATTGCAAAGCTATTGTCATTGAATTTTGAAATATAGCTCATAATTACTTAGTTCCAAACTATGATAGTCTCAATAGGTACTATTAGAATAAGAAATGGAAATAACATATTTAGTGTCTACTAAAATAATAATGATTGAGTCTTAGCACATTCCTACATGTTAGTGCTAGCTCATAAATACCTACATTTAATGGTCTAACTCTTGATCCATTATAGTCATGCAAATATTTTCCCTTAAAGCTATGTTCTTGGCAAAGTTGAGTCATTAGTATCTCTATGTGAGGATTGAATTTTCCAAGTGTATACCAATAGATATTTTCAACTTCATTATTTAAATTATTTATAATCTATCTAGTTTGGACCTAGGTACAACTATTATAATGTCGTGGAACCATATTGATTATAATTGGTATATTAAATAGTCGTAATATTTGTTATTCATTTATTAATATATTGCATATTTGAATACCAAGTGAATCAATATGATCTTGGATAATATTAACCTACTAATTGAAAGGAACATTGTTAGCTATAATGTGAGATAACTTGCAAAAGATGGGTTAATATTATCTTCATCTCCAATATGATAGGATATTATTTGAGGAGAGGTTAAGTCTCTACTATTAAAAATGTTCCTCCTAATATATTTGTTATATATATATATATACCATCTCTATAATATATTATCATCTTATAATTGAAAGTTATAATAGATACTAATATTTACTAATTATAATAATACTTAAAATAATAATATTATATTAATAGTTTGAGGGAGAGGGAGGGAGATAGAATGTTAACTGATAATATATGGGTATATATATATACACACACACCCATATAAGCGCAATATTTAGCAAAGGTGAAGAGTAATTGCTAACATGAAGCATGTGAAGATTTGTTGTTGAAATGCGTATATCTATCTCTCGTTTATAATGAGAGTGGAGGAGATATAATTTAACATTAGGTTTTACAAAAATTTAGTTCTTTGCCAACATTATATCTAGTTATGTCATGGGGGGATTAACCCTCTCATGATTGGGGTTGATTCACTCTGTTTGTAAAAGTTATATATATATATATATATATATATATATATATATATATAGGGAACTCGCAGGGGACAATGATAATTTAGATAAAGGGCCCCATGCATATGAAACATACCTAAATTAAATTTTGATATAATTTCTGAAATTATAATAACCTTTTATCATGAAGCCATCTATGTTTTCATCCCTTCCATTGAGGAGATACATTTTTAGGCCCTAGGTTGGTCACCTAGCATGTCCCTCCCTAACAAGTCAATATCTTATAATTTAGTCAAATAATCATAATGGAGTAATATCTAATGGACCAATCTTTCTCCTTTCCCTCTTTGACCAACTAATATGATAAATAATCATGGATGCTTCATCTATAACTATGCCTCCTTATATTAAGATATACCTCTCCCTCTAATTATAACTAGTATCCTAGAAAAAGACATTGATAATCAATATTATTGAAGGCTAGATTGTCTTTTTGTGATATCAACTACATGAGAAGGTTTTCCTATTGTAAGGGTATTTGGAGCCCTACAAACTTGTGATAGAGAGAGGTCAAGAGAAAGAGGCCGAAACACTAGCCTTCAATAATGAATTAAGAAACCTCGAGTTCAACTAATAGCAAGTCACGGTAGGAAAAATTTCCTTGTGTGTATATAATTATTAATTACAAAGGTTATTAATAAACGATTATAATTCACTTAGTCATCTTCACTTCATTAGAAGCTATCCAAATAATATCTAGATAAACTATTGCCAACTTGGTCCCCTATACGGATAGGGGGTTACAATTATTTTTGTAAGGAGCTTCCATTACAATAGGGAAATTTTACCAAATATTAATTTGTATAACCATTCTAGCCTCGATGAATACTAGATGGTCATTAGTAATCAGGAAATATTATATGCTCATTAATTAGATTATATTCAAATACTAAACATTTAAAAATAATTTATAGGATGATTTACTTACCCTCTATTATTAATATGGGACCTTGTATATCGATCTATTATTTAGTTTCACTTAGGCATACATCCTTTTCATTTGCCTACCTAATGGAATGAATGTTTGCACTAGAGCCAACCAGCCATGTCCCTTAGATGGTAAGACAAAACCTATTTATCTAGGAGTAGGTCTTAACATACAATAGTATTAAGAGGTTTATTTGGGATAATTATCAAAAGATATGAGACATAATTCATTCCAAGCCTGATTTCTCTTATGTGCCCCTCTCCCTCCATTATTATGATGTTAATTATAAGGCCATCTCCCTTAGTAATGACTACGGATATAGTTCTTATCATAATTCATTTCCTCTATTTCAAGGCCATTCGAATAACCTATTTAAATGATAATACCATTATATGACCATGAATAGAACAACC